TCCTCAAAACATAAATTCTTCTTAAAATTTTAATATACAAAATAAAATAACAATGTATTATTATGGAAATATTGGTGTTTAATCCTTTACTTTAATAACCCTTAAATAACGGTAAATCTGACCATAGCGTGGAGCCGTTGCTTTCCAACTTGGGAGGTCACTATTAGGGGTAAACCAGGAATTTCACACATCTCAACAGTACCTATTTACAATTGACACGGCTATTTATACGCACCTTATGTAGAGAAGCTGAAGCTAAGCACCGCGAAAAATGGCAACGCAACAGATTGCGTCCCACAGAGAAAATGCAGAGATCTACCATGGGGCGGCGCTCTGCAAGCAGAAATCGATCGAGCTCCTCCAGGAGATCAACCTCCCCAAGGGCCTCCTCCCTCTAAACGACCTCGTCGAAGTCGGCTACAATCGCACCACCGGCTTTGTCTGGCTCAAGCAACAGCGCGGCATCGAGCACCGCTTCCGGCCCATCAGTCGCACCGTCTTTTATGATAGTGAAGTCACCGCCTTCGTGGAGGAGCGCCGGATGCGGAAGCTGACTGGAGTCAAGAGCAAGGAGCTCTTGATCTGGGTTACCATTTCTGATATCTACATCGACGAGAGGAATCCGACCAAGATCACTTTTGCTACCCCGGCGGGGCTGGGCAGATCTTTTCCGGTGTCGGCGTTCGAGGAAGAGGAAGGGCAAGAGAAGAAATGACTGCAGCGACTGCCGACACGGCTGCATTTCATAATAAGGAAAAATTGAAAGGGGATCGCTATAATTGCTAGTTGCTTCTGTTAGGGATTCTAAATAATTTATGTTCTATGGATTTTAATCGGAAAATTTGTTAATTTTTAGGATACATCGTATCTCAATTGTCTTCTTTCTTCTTTTTAATGTTAAGTATTAATTTTGGGAAAAAAATTGCAGTAAATCATTCTGAAAATTGGAGTTGAAGGAACCCAAAAAAATTTTCCGTTTGCATCAAATATAATTCTTCATAACAATAAAAGGATCAAAAAATATATATTCATAAAACAGTAAGCCTCAAAGGGTGTCTCTCAACGGATGTTATAGATTAGAACATCCTGGCTATCTCAACTGATGTATAGCAGATTATTAGATAAAATTTCCGGAATGAAAAGCCTGCACAGAGACCCATGAATATTGAAGAAGATGAAATTTCAGCGGTTAAATACCCGGTTCAGTCCCTCAACTTTAATTTTTGAACCAAATTTACCCTCAAACTTCAAAAAGCACTAAAAACATCCCTAAACTTCAATTTTTGAGACCAATTTCATCCTTCTGTTGACGGAAGTGCCAAATGACACGTTAAGTTGCCACGAAATCAATTCTTGTTTTAAATCTTTAATTATGTGGAAACAACTTAACTCACCGTGGCATTTTTATTGTCCACGTCATTTTAATTAGTTTATATATTAAAAAATTTAAAATTCCTTAAATACCCCCATCTTCATCTTCCAACCCCTCTTTTTCCCCCTTCTCGTCTCTCTCTATCCTTAGATGCCTCTTCATCTTGCAACTCATTCAGCACCGATCATCCTTCATTGCTCTGGTCATCTCTTACCACTCCGATCAATACATGATCATTAGAAGAAAAATGGAACCCAAATCAGCAAACCTCTCCTTCTTCCCCAAACCTTTGCTCTAATGGAACCCAAGTCTGGTTCCTCACACAATAATAATGGCGAATAGATTTTATTCAAAAAATCAATTACACTGCAAACTTATACCAGATCTGTAAAACTTCAAAAAAATCAATCATACTACAAACTTATACCAAATCTGTAAAAGAAAAAGGAAAATGCAAAAAACACAACATCCCTTCAATCAACACCAACAATAGCTAGATTTTGAAATTCAAGCAAGCAGAAGTCACACAAACCTCTAAATCCCATACCGAGATAGCTAAGCATGATTGCAACCAACAAAGAAATAGAAGAAAATGAGAACAAATGAGAAAAAATCATGGGATTTCTTTCAAAAATACTGAGACAAGGAGGAAAAATACTCGAATTGAGTTTTCTTGGTTGGGTTCTCAACAGAAAAGGGAAAAACCAAAAAGATGAGAAGGAGAACGGAGGGAAGAGAAAAGAAGAAATAAGAATGAAGAAGGTTCCAAACCCAAGGCCTGGGTTCGAAAGAACCCGCACCTAAGTTCTATCGAACCCAGGTGCTGGGTTCCAAAGAGAACCCAATGCTTGGGTTCGAAGGAACCCACACCTGGATTCCATCGAACCTAGTACGTAGGGGAAGGAGAAAGGGAAAGAGAAGGGGAGAAAAAAAATGAAGAAATATTTATTTAATAATTATTTATTAAATTACATTTATGTTATCTACTTTAAAATTTACCACATCATAACATTTTTATATAATTAAAAAATGTCATATCACCTACTTTATTTCCACTTAATACTCAA